TATTCATCCCTATTAATTTATTTGGTCTGCTTGCTGGTGCAATTAATAAGGTACAGGAGACAAACCCAAAGCTCAAAGCAAGGTAGTGGAAGGGTTTTTTTCACTTCCCAGGCCTTTGTATAAGGTCTTAAGAGAGAAAAACAATGGTGGGGATTCAATAACCATATAGATTCTCCTCCTCTACCCATTACAGTTTTTGCTGCTGATTAACTCTCTAGACCACAGTCTCCTTGCAGAGTGTAATAACATTAAAGTGAAACAGATGTGAGAAGATTGACTTTAAAATGAATTTCATGCTAGTTAAAATAAATGGAAAGTTATATCCCCAACTTGTAATGGAAAACTGATACTCATCAGAATTATCACCCATCCAAATACTTCTGCTCAGCCAAGATTTTTAAACTAAAAACTGCACAACTTAGTTACCAAATCCTCATTATCTGTATGTTTTGTCAAGACTCCCTAAGAAGGGGTTTGCCTGCTTCTTTTATTTCTACAAACCTCACCTCACTTTCAGCAGAGGCAAACATTTATACATATTCAGATTATTACCAGAAATTTTGGGACTGCCCAGTGTATAATCCTTCTCTATCATAGCAAGCATAAGCTCATTGCCTTCACCTGTGGCTTATGCTTCCCCATTTTATTTTCATTAGGCACTGCTTGTTATTATGGTGCCAACTCCTCTTGCTGCCTGTAACATCATGCAGTGTTTGAGCAAACACCATCACCCTTCATCTGCTTCTGATGTTGGCTCTCTCCATTTCACTTCTAAAGGAGCTTCTCTTTTACTTCATAAGGCCTCTTCAAATGCTTCCGTAAAGCTCTCCCTCTCTGTGACATCTGGAGAATACTTACCACGCAGAGGCTATTGATAGGCAGAAACCAAGCATGTAGATCATTATTATTTTAATATCTCTTTGTAGTCTTCCTTCTGTCTGTATCCCATTTACCATATATATCCGCACATGACTGTAGAGTCCTGGTTTAGGATGGAGATTATATAAGCAATAATATCACAAATAATAAATTAATTTTTGCAGCATGGGACGAAATAGATATGCACATACATTACTCCAGTTGTCACAATACTGGTTTTCGAAGAAATCTAAACAGATGCAGCTGTTCTGCTTGTGCCATTGCCTATTCTGTTTTAATCACAATTACCGATAGCAGACTGTTGCAGCAGCAGCTTTGCATTTCCAATTGAAAATCTTGGGTTTAGCAATTCATGAACTGTGTCTAAAAATATATCCTCATTTGAAAACTGGCATTCAAGCTACAGTCTAGAAGCAGCTCCCGTTTAAATATATTTAGTTAGTTCAGCAATTTTATCTAAGAGCACAAAGATACCTTTGTTGTTCCAGAAAGCATTATTCCATTTTCCTATGTTCAGAAGTGACTGTGATGACATTGTTCTGCATTTCAATTATCTCTAATATGAGCTTTTGTAAAAAGATAATTCATTTGCCATGTGTCAGCTTGGTACTTCCTTTCCATTTGACAGTCAGTGCTGAGTAGCAATAGGAAGCCACCGTCAGTAGTCACATAGGTTAGAAAGAGAACTACAGAATGCCAAAATCCTGTGGAAATACCTGGTCCTTTGATTTACATTGGCAAATATAGGCTGAAGACTATATGCCTAATTTACAAACTTACTACAGAACAAAATGGCTTTGGCCCTCCAAGTTAAACAAGCATCCAGCCAGGAGAAAGTCTTCCCAGTTGCTAACAGCACAATAAAAGGAAGTCCTCTAGGACAATGTAAAACTCTTCCAGAGAATGAAGGTCCCAAGTCACTGAGATCATCTCCCAGCTCATTTGTAATTCCTTGTTCAGGTTTATTACCCTTTTTTTCTCAAACCTGGGAAGGTTTTACAATGAGTAGACATTTACTCCAGTCTGTGGCGGGCTCTATGAACCTCAGAGTGGCTGAGTGAAGTTATAGAGCTGTCAGTGTCTCCATCAACTCTTCTGCACTTTACCTGAAGATCTGTCAAATCACAGGGGAGGAATTAAAAAAGAAAGGCACAGGCTGGCTGGCTTGGGGTTTTGCACATTACCAGAGATTGCTAGACGCCAAAATTTTCAACTGATGGATACTTTTTACTTAGGACTAGTGTATTTACATGCTACCTGGAACCTGCTAAAGGTCTCAATGGGGATGTGGCAGCTACCAGTATTTAGAAAGGGAGCATCTGCCCTCTGTAAACCTCATAAATATAATTCATAATGAGGTTCATTCAGCAATTTATTCAAACATTCCAAACTGTGTGGTTACACAGGCCTAGAACAGTATAACCACTGTCCTCATGTTGGTTTAACTATACACAGATATGGAGCATTGCACACTGTACATATTTGTACATTTGACTTCTGCCAAATAATGCAGGCATATGCTATCTGTAAGGATGTCAAGTGCATAATTTAATAGTTATTTGATTAATTTGAATATCCATGGCACAAAAATGCATTATTTGCTTACTAACATGGGTAAGGTAAAATTAAAGAAAAAAAATGTAAAGGGTCAAATTTCCAGACAAAATTCACTACAAATTATTTTCATCTTATGTATACAATTAGAGCCCATCAGAAATATAATTATGCATGCAAACTGTTTGAGTGGAGGTCATACCAGCTTCTGCATAGGAAAATTCCCCTAGGGAGGTAGATTGCTCATCCAGATTACTTACTGGGCTCAGAAAGCCAAGATTTTTAAATAACAGTTGTTAGTGATTTAATAATACATGAATGCAGCTCTGAGGTTAAAAAATAAAGCACAGAAAATAAAATCCAAAGGGAATAGGATAAGGCTAATGGACAAATTAATGTATTTGAATTTTTCTTTACATTACCAGGCATGCTTTGTTGACTTCATCATATTGTGTTGCTGTTTAACAGCATTGTTATCTTAACTCTAAAATATTCAATTAATATTTTCTTGAATGGAATTAATTAGAAAAATACGATGGTATTCCCATAGTGTGATCCTGACTTCATTCTTTACTTCTTTATTCCTTCACTTGCCAGGAAGAATTGGAAACACTGCATTCAGTTCCACTGATTCAGGTCTTTCCTGTAAAACATACTGAATTGCAGCTGGTTAGTCTCATTTATTAATTCTAGAATGGGTCTTTTTAGAGATGACTTCAGGAAAATTTGTCCTTTTATGAAATGTTCATATTTTGCTTCAATGAAAGATTTGTTTTGACTTCTTAGACATAATTCTAAAAAGATATAACATTATTAATTACTGCTATGAATTAGTAGAATTATGGAATAGCATTGGATAAAGGTTTTCATTTGTAGAGTGGACCAAGCTTATGTACCTCAGCTAATTTACCTGTTTTTTATTTTTCAAGCCCATTCTGCTACAAAAAGAACAAACCAATTCTGCTAATGTTTGCAGAAGGCAAATTCCATTGCTTTGTAATAAGCAAACATTACAAAACTGACATTGCTAAGACTTTATCACTGAAAATGTCGATAGCCCATGTAGAAATTAAGATAATTTTTAAAATCAAAGTTTAAACAGATATTGGATCAAAAGTTCAGTGTGTTAAAAATAACACATGGTTAAATCATCGTTTGGCCAGATCACCCAATTTAAAAAGATGGCAATCAAATCACAAAAGTTAAAGGATAAAAGATTTATTTATTAACCCTGTATTAGATGATCAAAGAAAATTAAACCGGTTTAATTAAAACTTTCTTATTCCTCTTTCATTCCCAGCACACAATGGTGAAATTGAAATAGCTGGTATGGGATCTTTCTACCCATGTTGATTGTAGTCCCTAGTTACAGTTATTAACCGAAGCCCTAAAATCAATTTAGCTAGTCTTAAACAGCTTCTTAAGTTTCATATGCAGTGCTATTACACAATTTCAAAATTAGGCTTTGTGCTTTGTAATTGTGCAGTTGATCCGATACATCTCTCAGGATGGAGAATCCACAGTGGAGCCCACTGGGCTTTCAGCCTCCCTCAGCACTGGCCCCCCTTTTTGTCTCTCAGGTGTTTTACTTGATTAATCTTGTATTGTACTTGATGAAATGCCTGCAGGTTTCAGACACCGCTCATTGATAAAGAGAGTGATCAGGTCTTACCTCCAGGCAGAATAACTTCATAAAGTTAGAGACTGTTACTTCTGAAGATAGAAAATAGCTAGAGAAAGTCCTGTTGAGGATGAATCCTGTGGGATAGTCACTACTGCAATCACTTGGTTGCAGGTGAAAAGGTGAAAAACAGTGTCTCGGGCTGCCTTTAGAGAAAAAAGGTCGCTTATTTTAAATAAATAGGTGATAGCCATATGATCTACTCTGGGTATTTTTGCCTGGTTTGGGTATTCACAAGCTCATAGAAACAGCTGCAAGCCTCATTGTTAAGACTTTCATTCACCCCAAAGGATCTTATGTTCCCTGAACATACTGGAAATCAGCTGAACAAACCCATGATCAATAGCCCTATCACAGCACCAGGCATAATAACTAAGGGAGAATATATGAAGCTTTGCTAATTTTTACACTGTATGGTTTATATCCATTTAATAAGAAAGAACTAATACCAAAGATCTGCTTTTACGTTTTATCAAGCTAAGCTCCATATAATATAAAACTGTTAAAGTATACGCCAAGTTGTTATCATAGCTCTCAGTCTTCCAGTGCATTCTTAAAAAATTAAAGTGTACATGGATTGACATCATAGCAGTTTTAGCAACAGAGTAAGAGCCCATAGAATTCGCATAGCTAGTGTGTCATAAGTTGCAGTTTCCATAAAAATGTTAAAATAACTTAGCCAATACTATCATAATAAATTTCTTAAAAAAGAATGTAATAAAATAAATTATGTGAAGTGGCCTTCATTTAAAAATTAATGACATATTTCGACCCATTTTTCTGACTGTTTATGTACCACTTTGATACATTCAATGTATGAATATCAGTATACTGGAATAAGCACTATCAGAATGAGAGGCCTCACTGTTTTTATTGTTCATTCCAGTCATTGTTCTAAGTCAACTATTTCAGTCAAAACTAAACCTTCGGACCAAGCTTAAACCTGATATGTGTCCATTTGTTTATTGATTCCAGCTAAGACAGGACCTCAGAAAAAGTAAGTACAAATTATTTTTTTCAGTATACTCCAGGTATTCAATTTGGATTGCTTTCTGAGAGACACAGGCATAAGCTGCTTCAATACTGTCAGTACCTCTGACTCAAACTTTTTGTATCTTTCATTAAGTTAATTGTCTTTCTCTGGATTTTCTCCAGAAACTGTATTTAGCAATTGAGGGGAAAAAAGCAATTCAGTCTACAAGGTCACAATATTCTGTAGCTTTGTCTACTCCATCTGTTTTAAGGTGAGATGTTTTTTGTCTCTAGGAGTTATCAAAGGAAACTTTATGACTAAAGACAAGAAGGGCTAGTAAGGCATGTGGGAAGAAGGAGAAGCATTTTCTAAGGTTTTCAAGGGTCAGTGCAGTGCAATTCTACCTTTTGGCTCTGAATCTGTAGAAAACTATAGAGGGAGCCTAGAAAGATTAGCTTGAATGGCTAAAGTTACCTTTTTGGAATACCTCACAGCTGCCAAACTCTTAGGTGGCTAAATTTAGATGAGGTAAATCCCATTCTCAGTGTGGTGCACTTAATCATGAGCTATTTTATAGCAACTATCTCCTACTGATGAAAATTAGAGAAGAATACAATTTTTTTTCTGGATTGGGGTTATGAATATATATAATTTAAAATAATTTTGAAATGTATTTTCTTAAAAAATTATCAATGTTTTAGAATAAATATTTTTGATGGATTTAAAGAAAAGAAATAAACCCAAGCAGCAAGGTAGTAGTAATTTTTTAGATTATTGATCCTTTGAGATACTTGTGTTCTTGTGGGGAAATGACTGTGAATCCCTGTCACAGGAAATGACCTGTGAAAGAAAGTCCAAAGATTTTTAGAATAGTGTCTGAAAGCCTAAGTTTTGTGCTCCCAATGCTTCCTTTGTAACTTTTTAGGATACCTTATTCATGAAACATTTGTGTAAATGGAAATGGTAATCCAGATCTTTATGTAAACTGGAATCTGTCTCTCCAAGATTTCCAGAGTTTTGTCTTTTGTGGGCTGGATCCACATTGTTCTATCTCTTTCGAAATACAGATCAAAGATTGTGTCTTGAAACTAAATCTTTCACATTAAATATTCTTAAAATTTTATCATACTGTTTTCTCATGCCACTGCTTTACATTTCTCTGTAAGAAAGAGCAGATTAAAAGGAGAAAAAATTCAGTACTTGAGGGGTGGTTGTTTACACAGATTCCTTTCTCCACTATATCAGTTTCATAGAAGAGATAGCAGTGTTCTGTACTGTCATACTTCTTTTATCAAGCCATGTATCCAAATTCATTGCAAGAACATTGACTTTTGAGCCTTTATATTTGCTAGCTTAGCAGGAATGGCAGTTTTTCACTTTCTTTCTCTCTTTCTTTCATTCTCTCTTTCTCTCTTTTTCTTTCATTCTTTTTTTCTCTTTCTTTCCCTTTCTTTCTCTCTTTCTTTCTTTCTCTTTCTTTCTCTCTTTCTTTCTCTTTTTCCTTCCTTCCTTCCTCCCTCCCTTCCTTCCTTCCTTCCTCCCTCCCTTCCTTCCTTCCTCCATCCCTTCTTGCCTTCCCCCTTTCCTCCTTTCTTCCCTCCCTCCCTTCTTTTCTCCTTTCTTTCCTTTTTTTTTCTTTCATTCCCTCTTTTTATCCAAGATTTCTCATTATAGTTTTGTACTTCTTTTGCTTCCTTGTTTTCCACTGTTCTGGAATTCCAGTACAGTGAAACAAAAGTAAGACTGTACATGATCTTGCTTTTGCAGATGCTACACTGTGAACTGTGAAAGGTCTATGGAAATTTCAGAATTGCCACAATATCCATCTGCTAACAGAAAGAAAATTAAACAGCAATATGTAGTTTATAGGCCTATCCTCTCACTTTATGATTTTGGAGAATGCAAAAAATCCACATAAATGTCATTCATGTTTGACCTGTTCTTACATAAATGAGTGGCATAATAAAGAAATCTTCCAGATATCCTACTTTAGATTCTACCCATGGGAAAGGGCTCTTCTTTTTGCCAGTTCACTAAGACTTGCCTCATAACTGTCAGATCTTTGTGCTATAACACATACATCGTAGCTGAAAACAAGACAAAAAATAAATAAATTCAGGGAATTTCATGAGCTGATTTAATCACGTAAGTGCCTTACACAGTAACTGTTCTTATAGCTGTCTATGTGGGTAAGTATTTTCTGTCAAACTCAGAGTTGTAATTTCACGTTTCGAGTGAAAAGAGCATGGGCTATGATCTGAATTTGGAAACCTCCATATTTTAGTGTCTGGCTATCAAACTCCTCCTCACACAATAATAAATTATTTGAAAGTATATAAAATACTTTAATAATTAAGGGCAAAACAGAGTACCATAATGTATCTAAACATTTTTCATTTTGAAGAACTATCCACAATTCTGTTAATAGCTATAGCAATTCTGGCAGAGATATCAATCACATTAAAAAAATACAATATCATGGCCAGGCTTTGCGAATGAAGATTTGAGAAGGGCTCTACCCACGTTTGTTACAAGCGCGCTGGTGGCTAAAAAGGCCAATATGAGATAGGCACATCCGGTTGCAAAAGGCACAGCAGAAAGACTCCTTAGGTGGTATATTCTGCAAGACACGATTCTTTCTGCGTTGTCTTTTCTCCTCAAGAGTGATCCTGCGTGCGTTCTCAAAAGCATCATCAGCGTTATAGATGGTGTGTCTCCAGACCTCCCAATTTGAGGCCAGAGTAGACCAGTTATGTTGATCAATATGGCCAAGGCTGAGATGTTGTTTCAGGGAGTCCTTGTATCTTTTATTCGGGGCTCCTCTCTTGCGGCAGCCGGTGGCAAGTTCACCATAAAGCAAGATCTTAGGGAGGCGGTGGTCCTTCATCCTTGAGATGTGCCCTGCCCAGCGCAGCTGTGTTCTCAGCAACATGGCTTCTATACTTGTGACTGCTGCTTGCTCTAGAACAGATGTATTGGTCACATAGTCTGACCAGTGGATGTTTAGGATTGTACAGAAGCAGCGTTGATGGAAGTGTTCTAGGAGATGCAGGTGGTGGCGGTAGATGACCCATGATTTGGATCCGTATAAGAGAGTAGACAGCACAATGGCTCTGTAAACACTGGTCTTGGTACTTTTCTTCAGGTGTTTATTTCGCCAAACTCTTTTATGGAGTTTTCTGAAAGCTCTCTATGCCTTTGCCAACCTCTGTTGTCTATCCCTCTGTCAGTCTTACCATCCGAGGAGATGAGGCTACCTAGGTAATTAAACTGCTGGACTGATTTGAGCTCTGATTGGCCAATGGTGATATGGGGATGATGGAAGACTTCCTAAGGTGCAGGTTGATAGAGAACTTCAGTCTTCTTTAAGCTGACTTCCAGGCAAAAGAGCTCAGCAGCATCTGCAAAGCAGGATGTTAAATGCTGCAGAGCTGCTTCTGTGTGGGCGACGAGGGCGGCGTCATCAGCATAAAGCAGCTCCCGGACAAGATGGTTTAAGGTCTTAGTGTGGGCCTTCAGTCACCTTAGGTTGAATAGGCTTCCATCAGTACGATATCGAATGTAGATACCGTCCTGATCCTCGAGGTCTGCCGTGGCCTTTTGGAGCATCCTGCTGAAAAAGATTGTGAATAGGGTTGGTGCGAGAATGCAACCTTGTTTCACACCACTGGTTATTAGAAAGGGCTCAGAAAGTGCATTGTCATATCTGACTTGGCCGTGCTGATCCTCATGGAGTGAGATGATCATTTTAAGGAACTTGAGGGGACAACCTAAACATTCCAAAATCTGCCATAGACTTTTTCTGCTCACAGTATCGAAAGCCTTGGTGAGGTCGACAAAGGTTACATAGAGACCTTTGTTCTGTTCCCTACACTTCTCTTGCAGTTGTCTGAGAACAAACACCATGTCTGTGGTACTCCTGTTGGCTCTGAAACCACACTGACTTTCAGGTAGAATTCCTTCTGCTATAGCGGGTATTAGTCTGTCCAAAAGTATTCTTGCCAGGATTTTGCCAGCAATGGAGAGCAGAGTAATACCACGGTAATTTGAACAGTCTGATTTAATTCCCTTCTTCTTGTACAAAGTGATGATGACTGCATCATGAAAGTCTGATGGTAGTTCGCCTGGTTCCCAACAGTGCACTCAGAGTAATGATTATCATTGCAGTCTGAAATCATGCCATATAAATAGATAGTTCTATGAAAATACCACCTCAGTGTTGAACAGCTGTCAAAGAAGACAGAAAGTTAGGAATTATTAGGAAAGAACAGAGAAACAAAAAAAGGAAAACATTACTATGCCACCATAAAATAAATTTAAGATGTTTCCACATCTTGAATACAATGTGCAGTTCTCTTCATCCATCTCAGAAATTATATAATAAATCAAGGGAATAGCAACAAAGAAAATGCAAAGTATCACACAGGTTCAATATGAGAAAATGGAAAACTCATTCTGGAAAACAGCTGATCTAGAAGAAAACGATAAAGGTTTATAAAATCCTGTGTAGTATAGAGATAGGAAATAGGGAATGATTTTTCACTGTCTTTTTCAATAGAAGCAACATCAAATTAAACAAGCAAGTAACAGATTCAAAATAAACAAAAGAAGTGCCTTTGCATGCATACATAATTAACCTGCGAAACTCTCTAAATGTTATGGATAGTAAAAATTCACATAAATCAAAAGTGGCTTGGACAAACTCGTGGAAGCAAAATCTGTTTCAGACTTTTAATGTAAATGCACCTCCTCCAGCTTGGTTCGCTCCTGAGCCAGCATTTACCGAGGGAGTACTCCAGGAATTGTCACTAAAATGCTTACTAATAGTCATTGTTTTGGTTTTTAACCTGGTTTGACTTTTGTTGGCAGCAGAAGAGACAGAGACCACAGTTTTATTTACAGTGGAAGATGCTATTGACATATTTTAGACATAAAAATACCTCCCCCAATAGAGACATGAGAACTGAGATGGATGATCTCAGTGAATTTTCTCAAAGATGGAACAAGCCGAGTAAAAAGACTCCTGGTAGTCCAGAAGAGGGCATATCTTTTTTCTACAGAAGACACATTTGCTGACA